GTAAAAAAGGTTGGGGACACCTGATCTAAATAAAACAAACAATGCAAAGGCATAATCGATCACTCATGGTTTCTCATGAAAAGGAAGCTAAACACTTTAACACTGTCTCTTACAATATGGAGGCTATTGTCCCCCACAAAAACAAATGAATAAATATGGGAAAAGAATCACTAAAACAAAGCACAAAGAAGCATTATCCTTCTCTGTCCTCATATTATCATTGATGGTATATAATATAGAAATTAACTATTATACTTTCTGCCAAATTATAGTGCTTCCTACTGTCCTGGAGAAAAATGACATTCCTGCCTTCTCAGTTTGTTGTTCAGGAGCAAATTGTGTTGTGACATGAAATTTCAAGGTTCCTTGTCCTTGTTCTATAGATACATTATTATCCAGAACAGATACACATATATTTTTCTCTCTTCCTGCAACTAGGCACCCCCTTGAACAGAGAGTGCCTTTAAACAGAGAGCTGTCTTTCCGTATTGCCAATAACAAATGGCAGTCCCCAAGAAATAGTTTGAGCAAGCATGTATGGCAGCTCTGGTATTTTGGCCAGACATGCACTATGTTGCTGTTATGTGCCGTCAAGATGGAACTGACTTTTAGCAACTCTATGGGACTTTCAAGGTAAGTGAGTGTGAAACTCACTGTCAGGGGTCAAATAAGGGCTGTGGATTGATTCCAGAGTTCACCATTCATACTGGATTCAGCAAGATTCGTATTCCTGTTCTCGCCCCCCCTTCTTTCTTTCTTTCTTTCCTTCCTTCCTCTGGTCCTGCCTTTGCCATTTCAGAAATGAGAGTAACAATGGCCCAGTGATAAGGTGATAGGGTGGTCTAGTGCTAATCTCATGCATCTAAGATTTAAAATACGGTATAGAAATTCAGAGGATGATCAGTGGAGAGGAAAGAATGCAGAAGCTGGTTGCCCGGTCTTGAACATCACAGCATAACTGCCTATGTTACTGAAACACCATCTATAGACATGCCCCCCAAAGAATGTATTTCAACTAAACACAGAGGAAAAAGATCATTCAAACTGTATTGGCTTGAAAAAGTAGGAGTCCCTCAGTGGCAGATATATATACTGTATATATGTAAAAAAAATGAGCAAAAAAACTTGTATGATCCAGTGTTTTCATGTGATTATATGTAAATATATCAGCATCATCTCAAATATAATTTCTAGGGTTTTTTTGTGGGGGAATTATTCAATGAATAAGTAAGATGGAAATGTCTCCCAATTGCACCACACACGTTTAACACATGCAGCTACTTCCCAGCATGCTGAAGATCATATCATACCTGCCTGCTATGTAGGAGTTAAATATGAGGACAGAAGAAGGTAGTAGTTCTGAACCAGCACAAACAAGTTCAAATACACAGAAAATCTAATTTACTGGTAGATTTTTAAAAATTAAGGAGTCTGGGCTTGGATGGACATGTTCCTCAGTTTCTCCTGCATTTGATTTTTTTAAAATCTCTAGCTTTTTCCAACTGAAATCTGAAGAAATCTGAAATGTCTGGTAAATTTTCAGAGGAAATAGGAAATGAAATTACCCATCCCTAATATGCACCAGCATCAGCTTCTTTATCATTAGCAAAACCTTCTCGAGCAGTCTTTGCAATACTACCTGTGAGGGAAACACAGCATTGTGAGACAGGTCATGAGCTTGGCAATAGATTGATGTTTTTCCAGAGGTTTGTAGTGCTCACCATACCAGTGAGCATAAGTTACTGCCAGAACTTGATTTGAACCAGCCTCACGTCATAGATCTGCTTTTTCACTGTCATCCAGTTGGCTGGGTATCGTCAGTCCCCGATCTCTGCCATCCTGTCTTGCCCTATCCATCTCGTACAGATGATAAGACATTTTGTCAGGAACAATGTCATTTTTATGCTCTGTGTGGTGCCTGGCAGACTAAATAAATGTTCCATGAGAAGAGTCAGTGTGATAGTATGCAGGCATGTCAGAATCATACAGCTTGCTTTGTCTTCCTATGGTCTCGAGCCTGTTCCGTTGAGGCAACTGTTAATATCCAGGCCCTCCACAATTTCCCCTCTTGGCTCAAAGACATGTTCTTAATTCTATCTAAAGCTGAGAAGTCCCTTGAGTCCTAAAACCTGACGTTTATTATGCTTAAGCATATTCAACATAAAATCCCAGCATATAAAAATGTAACAGTCTTTTATTTCTTCGTCCATAGCCAGACCTTCTCTTATTCTGGCATTGGAAAACATTTCATTTTATCTGAATGGCTTTTCTAGATGCTTCATTAATGAAATTAATGAAGATCCTCTCTATAACAGAATTTTAAATGGATGGTGTTCTCCTACTCTGAACATGAGCATTTATTACATCATAGCCAAAGGAGACAACAGGAGCCTTTCAAATTCTTTTGGCATAACCTGTATCAAAGTCTCCACAAGAGCAGTGTTATTTTTCTGCCTGATAAATTAATCTTGCTTGATCTTCAGTGGCATCATTTTAAAAGAGCACATGGAAGGACACAAATTCTCTTGTTCACTGCAAAAAATGTCAGCGTGCAGAAAGCAAGACATGGAGGTAGGGAACTTATAATTAAAATAACAACTTTTATGTGCATTCACAGGTATGTATGTGTGGGTGTTTCTTATGCAACAGCAAAACAGCAAGGATCTTTTGTCATTGTGTTGGTGGTACATATATAGGTAACTATTGGTAACTTAGGTAACTATTGTTGGTGCTATATACTTAGGTAACTATAGGTAACTATTCACATGTTAATTCTAGGTCATTTGGATTAGATTTAGGTATCCTTCAGTCTCAAGAGACTATGGTAACATGCTCTGATTATAGGACTTGGAACAGCATCTAGTGTGGCTGAGAAGGCCAATTCAAGAGTGACAATCCCTTCCAGTCTGAAGTCAAATACAATTGGTCCCCTGTCCAGCTCCCTGGTTTTTCTGGTTTCAGGACTGCCTCTTTGCCTAAGCCTGCTGGACAAGTATCTCTTCAAAATGGGAGAGGCCATGATGCACCACCTGCCTCCAGGCTGAATGGTCAGATGTCAAGGTTTCCCATCGGTTGAGGTCCATTCCTAAGGCCTTCAGATCCCGCTTGCAGATGTCTTTGTATCGCAGGTATGGTCTCCCTCTGGGGCAAATTTCCTGCACTAATTCTCCATATTTTGGAATCCAACCATCAGCCATTCTCACAAAATGCCCGAGCCACCGTAGATGTCGCTGTTTCAGTAATGTATACATGCTAGAAATTCCAGGTCATTCTAGGACTACTCTATTTGGAACTTTGTCCCGCCAGGTGATACAAAACATGTGTCAGAGACAATGTATATGGAAAGTGTTCAGCTTCCTCTCCTGCCATGCACAAAGGGTCCAGGACTCACTGCATTACAGGAGTATACTCAGGAAACAGGCTCTACAGATTCAGATCTTGATATATGCTGTCAGCTTCTTATTAAGCCATACTTTCTTTGTGAGTATAGAGAACATGGTAGCTGCTTTGCAAATGCATTTATCCAGCTTGACATCTAGGGAGAGTGTCAGAGTTCATGGAGCCAAGGTACACAAAGTCATGAACAACTTCCAATTATTGTGTGGATATGTTAATAGAGGGAGGTGAGTCCACACCCTGGCCCATGACTTGTGTTTTAGGCTGATTGCTAATCCAAACTCTTGGCAGGCCTTGCTAAAGCAATTCATGAGTTGGTTGTTGTGGGTTTTTCGGGCTCTTTGGCCATGTTCTGAAGGTTGTTCTTCCTAATGTTTCGCCAGTCTCTGTGGTTGGCATCTTCAGAGGACAGCACTCTGTGCTCTGGTGTACAGGCTCAGAAAAGGTCCTAGAAGCTGGTGATTTCGCCCCCGCTGGCCCTGTGGGGGTGGGGGGAGCCTCGCAAGGGTCCTGGAAGGGTCCCTTTGGAGGCTCCCCCTGCTCCCCCGCTGGGCCAGAGGGGGCGAAATTGCCACCTTCTGGGACTCTTTTGAGGCTTGGGAAGCTTCAGGAGAGTCCCTGAAGGTGGCGATTTTGCCCCCTCTGGCCTCCGGGGAGGGGCAGGGTGAGCCTCCAAAGGGTCCTAGGGTGTGTTCCATAAGATGGACCTCTCCATAAGGCTCACCAAATTTTTAGGAGAAGAAAACAGATTATTATTTTCCTGTTTTCTTCTCCTAAAAATTTGGTGCATCTTATGGAGAGGTGCGTCTTATGGAGCAAAAAATACGATAATTCTCTCCAATATGAATGTGACAATTTGCTTCACAGCACACTGAAAGGAACTCAAACCATTACAATCTAAAAATGTTTTCAGAGTAAAGTAACTTTCATTGTCTTCACATACTTATAGTAGGTTTTTGTTATTGTGTCTCCTGTTATATCAATTTTTATTTGATCTGGGTAGGTCAGACAGTGTCTAATTTTGGTCTAGAAACTGTTTTAATGAACTTTTTTTCCATTAGTCTCAGGCTGCCTGGCCAAGGGTGAGGGATTGTAGGAATTGTAATTTAGCAATATCTCTGCTCTGAAAGACCCATTTTCAAGATAAACATTTAAGTAAGAATAAAGGCTATTTCACAGCTTACACTTTTAGGTAGGCAGTTGAGAATGGAACATAGAATGGGTGGCTCAAATGTCAAGTTCATCCTCCCCCTTTTTAGAGTTGCAAAGATCTATCAATTAATGTCTTATCCTTATCCATGTTGACTGTCTCAACACCATGAAGTGGAATTTGGTACTCTCAGAAGATTTCTTGTCTCCTGTTGAGAGTGAGACAAAGGGCTTAGTTAATGTCTCATAAACACACAGGACACACAGGAGGACTGGCTGATTATGAAGAATGGCACAAACCAATCTGTTTAAGGCTTAAAACTGGAAAATGTTCTTCAAACAAAGTGGGAGTCATAAGAGTCTGCCTTGTTTCATTTCTCTTACACTTCATTGCTCTCTTTATTTACTTCATTCAACTCAAAACAACATCAAAGAATAATTATCCGCAAATTCCTTGGGCTGATCACTTCTTTTTGGCTGGGGCTCTTCTGCTCCAATATATTTCTCCTCTTTGGAACTCACTGCAGGGCTCCTAAAAGTAAAAATGAAAAAGTCATCCTTAAAAACAGAAGGAACAATTCAGCGTGCAACAAAATCTCCAAATAAATGTAATCACACCGTGTCATGGCCATATTCTCCAAAATCTCACCCAAGTAAAACTGATAGGACTTCAACATAATAAATGCAATAACAATAAAAAGTAATAAAACAAACTTTGTGTTGCTAAAGAGGGGCTTAATGTTCCAGATGTAGAGGGACTCAATGTGGTAATTGAGCAACAGCTCCCTCCAGCATAATCTGTGGTCAAGACAAACAGACGATAATTCAGCAGGAAACTGTTTCTCCATCCCTGCTTTAGCACTATCCTTGTGTACTTTACAACATACAGTTTATTTGTCAGAGGCACAATTCAGTACCCAATACCCTAGGGCAGTGGTCCCCAACCTTGGGCCTCCAGATGTTCTTAGACTTCAACTCCCAGAAAGCCTGGCCAGCAGAGGTGCTGGTGAAGGCTTCTGGGAGTTGTAGTACAAGAACATCTGGAGGCCCAAGGTTGAGAACCACTGTCCTAGGGGGTAAATCCAGTTGAAAATCAGGAAACACACATTTGCATAGACTTGTATCTAAAAATACAAAATACAAAAAATAAGAGGAATCATACATGTATGTATGCTATTAGTTGCAACTCCCCAACACATAGTGAACCTAGTCGCACTGTGTGTCATGGCCTTGTGGATAAAACAAAAGAAAGTGGACCACATCCTTGGGCACTAAAACTGAGCATGTCTTTATTTCTCCTCCTGTGAACCTGGCAGGGCTTATTAGTGGTGAATTTTGGCTGCATCATATATATGTGAAGAAAGACTGAAAGAATTGGGCATGTTTAGCTTTGATAAAAGAATATGATTACACTTTTCAAATATTTGAAAGGCTGTCATACAGAGGAGGGGCAGAATCTGTTCTTCATTATCCCAGAGTTCAGGACACACAACAATGAGCTCAAGGTACAGGAAACCAGATTTCTGTTAAATATCAGGAAAAATGTCGTAACTGTTAGAGCAATAAGACAGTGGAACCAATTACCTCGGGAATTCAGGAGAAACATAGACAACCACCCGGCAGATATACTTTGAGTTGTATTCCTGCATTGAGCAGGGAGTTGATGGCCTCTGTCACTTTTCCAGAGGATACTGCAGGCAAAAGTCCAATAAGTCAGTCCAAAGTCAAAAGTATGCGAGATACAAAACGGATGTCAAATTGCCAAAGACAAAACACAAACTGTAGTGAGAAGTCAGAGTCCAAAGCCAAAGGTCAAGAGAGTAAAGTCCAAGATAAGCAGGAGTGTTGATGTGAGCCAGAGAATTGATGTTGCTTCCATAGGCTTCCAAGCCTCTGGGTACAGATTAATAGAGCAGCAACAGTCATCTAATTCCAAGAAAACACTCAATCCTGCTAAAGCTCAGGGCTGGTTGACCTGATGTTCCTGTGGGAAGCATTCATGTGAGCCTCCGACCTTCATGTTATGAGTCCCTGCCAAAGCTTGTCCCTCACTCTGGCTAGTGGGGGAGGAGAATCTGGCAGTGATTCAGTTGTCTGTGATTCTAATTGCCTAGCATTTTCTTCAGCTGTAATTAACCCCTCAGATTCCAGATCTTTGGCTGAACCCATGACACTACCCCCCCGCAGGGCTCCCTCCTTCAGATGGACTGGGCCAATCAGGATAGGCAGCATGCAACTGTTGTATGAAATGGGGTGTGTGTAAGTTGCTTGCGGGTTCCCATCATAGATCCTCAGGGCCATAGCTCTCCCAGTCCATGAGATACTGAAGGCCTCTCCAGTGGATTCGTGAGTCTAAGATCTGATGAACCTCATATTCTTCCTCACCATTGATCAAAATGGATGGAGGTGGAGCCAGGGGTGGAGGTCAGACAGGGTCTGGTGCTGCAACAAGGACAAGGATGGACCAATGGAAAACCAGCTGAATACAGAGATTGGCTGGGAGTTGTAACCAAAAAGCAACAGGGTTGATTTGATCTGTAATTAGATAAGGCCCCACAAACCAAGGGTCCAATTTGTGTCACCAGCCAGGTCAGCATAAATAAGGGGTGGAGAGCCAGACCTGGTTTAGTGGTTTCAGAAGTGGCCCTTCTTGCCATTTTCTGTCGGCCACTGTCTTGTAGGCATCCTTGGCTTGCTGAAGTTGCCTTCCGAACAAACCTTGGAGATCCTGCAACTGGCGTATGTGAGCGTCAGCAGCAGGAACTACAGTCAACAGCAGGACAGCTGGGAAAAATGAGGGTGGTATCCATAGGTGGCTGCAAATGGTGTCTGTTTTGTGGATGAATGTATAGCATTGTTGTAGGCGAACTCAGCCAAGGGCAGCAAGGTAGCCCAATCATCCTGCTGATAGCAGGTATAGCAACGTAGGCATTGTCCAAGGATGGTGTCAGTACACTTGGTCTGTCCATCTGTTTGAGGATGGTATGTTGAAAATAAGTTCATCTGGGTACCTACACTGGTGTGCAAGGCTTGCCAGAACCGGGATGTGAATTGGGAGCCACGATCTGAAATTAAGTGTGTTGGGAGCCCGTGTAGACAAAAAACATATTGAAGGTAAAGCTGAGCTGTTTCAGGAGCTGTGGGAGGCTTGCAACATGGAACAAAATGAGTCATTTTGGTGAACAGGTCCACTATTACCAGAATGAAGGTGTGTCCTTGTGACCATGGGAGGTCAGTGATGAAGCCCAGAGATACTATGTCCCAAGAGCCAGCTGGTATGGGTAGTGGATGTAGCAGCCCTGGGGGTTTGGCTGGTACATTCTTGGCTCGATGACAAACCTCACAGGAATCAACGTANNNNTCCTGCAGGAGGGGAATCATGGGTCAGACAGAGCATGTTGGCTCCGAGGGGTCCTGGAGGGACATACAGGTGACTTTGGTGCAACAAGAGACCCTGGTGGTTAGCGAATTCTCTAGCAGGGCCCTCTTGGAGTTCCTGCAAGCATTGCTTCGCCCAGGGATCTTTAGCTTGGCTGGCCTGAATTGCCTCAGCCAGGGAGAAGTGGGTTATAGTGGCTGCAAAGACTGAGGGTGATAAGAGAGGTGTGGTAGGAGTCTCTTCAGAGGGTGATACAGCGTATTCCGGTTTGTGGGGGAAGGTGTCGGCTTTCCGATTCTGGGTCTGCATGGTATAGGTAATATGGAAGTCAAACCAGGAGAAGAGGCACAACCTGGTGTTGATTGAGGCATCGGGCTGTCTGCAAGTGTTCCAGATTCTGGTGATCAGTCAAAACTTGGAT